TAAAATATGTGCTTAAAGGATAACTAATATAGTAGTATTTTATTAGAAGTGCTCTTTACATTTGTTACGTTGTATTTCTTTTGGAACTCTAAACATCAACAAATTAATTATAAGCAATTTCAATTACATGTACCTAGCTACAATTTATCTTGTATTGGAGACTCCAATAGTCTTGGTTGCTAATCGATGATGTGGGGGAAATAATATCTTCTCACAAGATAAATGTACAAAAATATACGTTGATAGTTGTAAATATTATTCATTATAAATTGGAGAATTTGGTGAATCATATTTTTGATGCTCTTGAGCTTTTCTTTTAATCAACTATTTCTATTTCTTCAACATACTTAAAAATATTGTCCCGATTAAAATTTTCATACTTTATGTCATTATATTTCTCTTCATATATGGACTATAAAACTATCACCTGTGTAATTCTTTTACAGAATCTTATCGGAAATTGATATGAGATGAAGTTGAAAGGATCATTTTTGACCCATCTGTTTTATCGGGGGAGTCAGGTAAGGCTAAGAGGGTTCATTCAATCCCTCTTTGACTAAAAATTACAATATTTATACATATGTTTAAATAGTTTTTTTTATGTATATATAGTAGAGGTTGAACCTTCATGTGTTTAGTTCTTCATATTTTGAACCCCTTTTAGTAAAAATCTTAAGTCTGTCACTATTTTATTTAATATGTTTTTCTTACTGTTGATTCTATTATTAATGTCTTGAAATCATATTTTATGTGTTCAATTTTGTACTAAATGACTCATGGTTCATGTTGACTATTGTTGCAATTTAGTGATTTTTTACACATAGATTTATGCTTAATATGGGAAGTGTCGGAAACTATAATATTGAATCAGTCCTTGCTTTGATACATGTGCAACACACATACCCAGAGACTAGTATATATATATGATCCTTCTAGCAAAATTCAGGATATATTTGATCTTTCTCACACATGATTTTTTTTTTTTACTTTGATTCAATGCGTAATTTGAGTTTTAAATATCTCCCTTAGATCTATTTGCTTATCATTATTTGAGTATCTTATTCTTATTTATTTTTTTCCCTTTCATTTTTAGCGTAAAAAAATGAGAATAAGAAAGGAAAAAATGTGAATGATAAAAGAGAAAAAAGTAATAAAAATTTTTAAAACTATTTGTCTCTGTAAAAAAAATAAAAAATTGGAGAATCTATGATAAATTTTACAAGTAAATGAGTGAGAATAAATTTGTCAATTATAATATTAAATCCAAAAACTATTGTTTCTTAAAATAAAAATAAAAATAAAAAATCAAATAAAAATAAATTTAAAATAAAATTTTCACTTCCGTTAAACCAAATGTGAGCCACCTTTGTAACGATAATTATACCAACTCTACATTGCAAAGGTAAAAATTCACAAAAGTTTTGGATAAGTGTATTGTTTGGTGTACAGACATTGACAACAACATTTCAAGTAAAAAAAATCATTTTTTATTAAATAACAATATCATGCTCAATTACCATAATTAATTGGCTTTAAATGATGTGATGGTATAATATCTACGAAAATGTGTGAAAACGTGCAGATATTTTATGCACCAAACTCTAAAAATAAAGGTGTTTTAATCATTAATATTATGTCATTCATTCAAAAAGAACAAACACTTTATGGAACTTGCAATTTCCAAAAATTTAAGAATTAAGTAAAATATTTGAGGTAATAAACACTTGTATAAAAATCTCAATTCAATACACAAGTCATTGCACAAAAATCCATATGTAATAATACAAAAAAATTATCACTTGTAATAATACGACCTTGAGAATATTATCTCAACTTTCTAACCCAGCTATTACGACCTTGAGAATATTATCTTCTGACTAGATTATTACGCAATGAGGAATAATGCACCTTAAGAATATAGTTGGATTACGCAAATACCCTTTATCTATTAATTTGTTTTCTTAAAATCATTTTAAAAAAATACTTTTTCATCTAAAATCAACTCCATAACTGCACCTCTTCATTTTCATAACTTATATTAATAATATTCATTAATCTTATGGCTTTAACTCACACATTCTAATCATATTTTAGGAAAAAGTGACAAGTAAAAGTGAACGGATGGAGTAGCTATCAAACGAGCCCTAAAAGTAGGACAGAGTAGACTTTGAGTCTTTGTCCTTTTTAGGGAACCTCAGTTTCCAGCTTTGAGACCAACTTTTAATTTGGTTTAGACATATTCCAGTCAAGTCAACCCTCTATAAATTAAAGTAAACATACATAACGACTATGGAGACATTATATTGATCGAATCTTTTTGTTGATTTTTCCAAGTAGCTATACAGAGGCGAATTTACATACGAAAGTGGGAGTGATATGACATTTATACACTAGGCTTATTTATCTAGATATTACTTTTTTGCTCTTTTTTTTCCTTCGGAAAAGATAGCCAAAAATTTAATTCAATGTGAGTTTAATTTTTTAAAAATCTTTCTATCCCTCTAATGTTTACTTCTTTGTTGATATTTAAGTTGTTTTGGCTCTTGTTTTTTCTTATAGAAATATCAAGAGTTAATATCTCAAATGGTCACTCAACTTTGGGTTGGAAGGATTGCAAAGAATCGTGCCAAATTTATTTTGATCCATTGACGTGTATTTATTTATGAAGCAAGTTTTTTTACAAATTGAATCGAGTTAACACAAAACAAAATGAAATGATCGATATATGCCCTAATTCAATCTCCATAACTAGTGATTACTTTACATTAAAAATAATGTTACCTGGAACCTTCAAATTTTGAATCGGCCTTTGAACTACAATGTTGTGGTGTTTCTCGTGCCACTCTTAAAAACATCTAACATATAAAGTTGTCAAAAATTCTCAAATAATACTAGATCTAACTATTATGCAGTCCTACATAATGCAGAATAATACACCTTGAGAATATAATTAACTTTTAGTATGGTTTAGACATAATCCAGTCAAGTCAACCCTCTATAAATTAAAGTAAACATACATAACGATTATGGAGACATTATATTGATCGAATTTTTTTGTTGATTTTTCCAACTAACTATACCGGGCGAATTTACGTACGAAAGTTGAAGTGATATGACATTTAAACACTAGGCTTATTTATCTAGATATTATATTATTGCTCTCTTTTTTTCCTTCGGAAAAGATAGCCAAAAATTTAGTTCTATGTGAGTTTAGTTTTTAAAAAATTCTCTCTATCCCTCTAATCTTTACTTGTTTGTTGATAGTTAAGTGCTTTTGACTCGTATTTTTTTCTTATAGAAATATGAATAATGGAAATTAAGTACAATATGTTTAAATTCAAAAGGGGTAATTGCTTATTAATTTTTATTTTATTTTTTCTCATTTATTCCAGATATATTGGATTGAGAGAATTGCAATGAATCGTGCCAAATTTATTTTGGTCCATTGATGTGTATATATTTATGAAGCAACTTTTTTACAAATTGAATAGAATTAACACAAAACAAAATGAATTGATCGATGTATGCCCTAATTCAATCTCCATAATTAGTGGTTACTTTACATTAAAAATATTGTTACCTGAAACCTTCAAATTCTGAATCGGCCTTTGAACTACAATGCGATGTGGTGTTTCTCGTGTCACTCTTAATCACATCCAACATATGAAGTTTTCAAAAATTCTCAAATAGTACTAGATCTAACTATTATGCAGTCCTACATAATGGATAATAATACACCTTGAGAATATAATTAACTTTAACAATTGAGAACAATTATTTAATCAATCTAAATTGAAAAAAAAAAACATAAGTACCTTTTGAACTATGATCAAAATTACAGGAACACACTCTATCTTTACCGGAGGGGGGGGGGGTATTACCCCCAAAACTGCTTCTCTCTCTCTCTATATTTCTTTACACCTTTTGTGTTGACGTGGAGCCACAACCCAATTCAACTAGTATATATATAAAAGAGAACCTTAGGCCCGCCTACGTGACGCCACCACAAACCAGAATTCCCTTTTAATTTATTTATTTACAAAATTAGCCTTCCCTTTCATGAAAAGTTGTGACTTTTTATGAAAAGTTGCAACTTTAATGAAGAGTTGTGACTTTTATGAAAAATTGTGACTTTAATGAAAAGTTGCGACTTTAGTGAAGAGTTGTGACTTTTATGAAAGGTTGTGACCTTTCCAAAGGGTTGCAACTTTTCCAAATAGTTGTAACCTTTCTGATAAGGCACAATAAACATTTGTTCACACTACCCTTTGTTATCTATAAATAGAGGGATTTCCTCTCATTTTAACACAACGAAAATTCTGAACCTCCTCATCTTCTTCTTCTTCACAATTAAAATATTTGTATACTTTGCTCATGTTGAGTGATTCACTGATATTATTGCTTATGTTACAGATCCTGGTATATTTTTTACAATCATTAATTTATAATTTATGCTCATTAAATGATAAGATGTAATAATTTTCATTTTCCTTTACATTATTAATGTTTGTTACTATGTAATCTTGTATGTAAGATAATATAGTGTTTTAGTTTTAATGTCTGATAGGTTCTAAGTATTATTTTATAAATTCCGTGATAATAAATTTCTGCGCGAAGCTTGGGTAATTTTACTAGTTATACAAAATAACAAACATTTAGTCTGTATAAGGTACTATTCAAGAAAATTGCAATTCGCGGGCCGTGGCTATAATTTCCCCAATTCTTGTTATTCGTTTGATTTGTATAAATCCAGAATTTTATATATGCTTATCTTAGCTATTTGTATACGATTTATAAAAAAAATCATAATACATTACCATGTTTATATATTAACAAGCAAAATATACAAACGGAATTTTAAAAAATTCCTAAATATATAAATATAGAATTTGTACATACCTACCCTATTTATATATTCACAATCGAAATATACTAACCGCACCTCATGACAAACAAATATTTATTTTTGGGAACCTTATTTATTCACGTTGACGGGTCAGTGACGACGTCGTTTAGTTACTTTGTTCTGTTCGTATTATCACCCGCAGTTGCCACTGTGTGCTCTTTGGAATCTGGATCCAACTATCTGTGTGCTCTTCTTCGTCTGGTGAGTTCTCAAATCCGTTATCATCTTCCATCCTTGTAGAATCGATGAGAAATTGACTATTTGCCTTTTAGATCCGTTAATTGGGGATTTGTTTGTTGTAAATTTACTATCTATTTGTAATTGTTCTTGATCTCTTGGGGGTAAACACTGAATTGGATCGAAAAATGGTTAGTTTGAAGAAGCTAGTTGCTCTGCTCTCTTAGAACAGTTTGATGGAGAAAATTGTGCTTTTAAAATGCCTTAATTTAGTGAAGAAAATGGGCGTCTGTCTCCCAGAAACAACTTTTTTACTGTTAAATTTGTTAGCAATCAGAGAGTCCAAGGCATTGGTGTTATATTAGTAGGGCTAACAGAGGTAGTGTCATAACGCTGGTTTTAACATGGTGTTTTTACAGAATAGTTGGTGGGAAATGATATGGGTTGAAGAAATCAGGACTGTTCACCTAGGTGGCACTTTTTTCATTAAAGCTGAAAGTGCAACAAAATCTTGGCACTTTCCTATGCTCTTCAGCTCTTGCCTTTGCCAATGTTAGACAAAATTTGTATTTTACTATGTAGAATTAAGTGGAATTGTATCAACTATTTTTTTTTAAGTAGAATTTTGAGGGGATGGTTGCTCCAAGGGGCCGACCTAACTAAGTGAAGAGTTTGAGTGACATGGATTTGCGGAGGTACTTGGCCTTTGGCCCAGACCCATCATTATTTTTAAAAAATTGTGAGCAGATGGTTCTTTGATTTGTCAGAAATGATTCAAATGCTCCCAACTATTGTTACCGTCTCAAAAAAAAAAAATACTCCCAACTGTTTTTCTTAAAAAATATTTTATTGAATCAGAATTATTTACGATCAATGATAGTTTACAGGTTGCTTAAATATACTTTCTCCGGTTCATATTAAATGGTATATTTAAATTGGGTACACCCCTTAAAATATCTACTCACTCCTAGAAATTAAGAAGTGTTTTTTCTAACTTACCCTAAATTAAATAGTACTTGTTTAATATAATTTCATAGTTACTAGTAAAAATTCACCTATCTAAATAAAGGTAAACTTGAAATTTTTTTTACCTTTTTGACTATGTGGAACACCACTTATTTTGGACCTAAATGAAACGGTAAAAGCACCACTTAGTATGGACCAAGGGAGTATTTTTTTTGTGATGGTGGTTTCTTGGCTAATTTCCCTATACCTTGTCTATTCCACGGTGTACTTGCTATTTTTAACCAACTTAAGTACTAGATAACTCTGCTCAACAAGGTTAAGATAGATGGGAAGAAATCATCTTGAATTGCGCCATGTAGGGGAGACAATCTTTCAGACTTGCTAAATAATTAAAGTTGCTTGAGAAAGACATTAGGGTGTGGATTAAGGAAGTGTTTGGGAGGATTCAGGTGAAAATGAGGGAGATAATGATTGAAGTGGGGGAGTTGTCGTTGGGGGGACTCAAGGGGATGAGACTTTTGAGATTTGAGGTTCAGAAGGAATTCCCAAGATTGGAAGGTGACCGAGCTTCAGAGACTACTAGTTTTACTTCAAAAGCATTGCGAAGCAGTCACGGATCTTATACTTTGAGTTGGGAGTTGGGAAATAACAAAGTGTTTTGTTTTACTTTTAAGTCCTTTAATGAGAAGCTTCTTGGTAGGGCGGATGAAAGATTCCCATATGTTTCAGTTTGGATACCTAAGGTGTCGAAGAAAGTGTGTTCCTTCACGTGGTTAGCTATAGAGGGATTATCTTGATGACGGAGAATCTTAGAAAATGAAAGGTTGTCTGCTTGAGCTGGTGTTTCCTTAGCATAGAGGCTGGTAAGGACGTGGATCATATTCTGTTACATTGCAATTTAGCCACGAGGTTATGGGGGATATCTTTAGATGGTTTGGCATTTCTTGGGTAATATCAATATCTGTGAAGATGTTGTGATGTTCAGTTGGATGAGCAGAGCTAGAAGAAGAAAGCACAAGGCGTGGAATATTACTCCTTCTGCTCAAATGTGGGTCATTTGGAAAGAGAGAAATATGAGAGTTTTTGAAGGGGTGGAGATGAGCTTTGCTCAATTGAGAAGTAGTCTCTGATCCCTTATTTTATTTAGGTGCACCCATGTAGTTGCTGTTTGTATAAAGAATTGGGTGTCTTTTGGAGAGAACCATATTTTGTAGGTTTTCTCCTTTTTTTAGTATACCTCTTGTATACGGCCAAGCTTCATTGTTATTATCAATGAAATATTTACTTGATTTAGAAAAAAAAAGAAAAGTTGTGTAGTATGTTGTAACTAGTGGAAGTAGAACTCACATACCATGAATTAAATAGAGTACACAAAAAGGTAGACATTAAGATGCAAAACTTAAGAAGGAAAAACCCCTAAATGTGGAAAACATGTCTCCTCTCTCACCAGAAGTTGGTGAGATAGGAGACACATTTCTCACTCTCATTGGTTTGGATTCCAAGGGCACCCAAGAAAATGTTCTTTTTTGTTTGCTTGGCAGCGAGGGGAGCGATTCTAGCAGCTGAAAATTTGAAGAAGAGAATATGTGTAAATGCTCGAGTGAAGAGGTTGATCGTCTTTTGGTGTATTATAAGGTGGTTCTCTGTGGAGGATGGTCTTAAACTGTTCTGCTACACAGTGGGTGATACCAGGCACCGTCAAAGATGTGTTGCACATCTGGGTTGGGAAGTAGGATAAGAAGACAAAGGTCATGGGAGGTTGCACCAGTAGCTCTTATGTTGGTCGTATGGAGAGAAATAGGAGAGCAACTGAGGGAATTGAAAATGATTTTGTACATCTGAAGAACAGCCTTTTGGTACACTGGTAAGGTTACTCAAGTCACAAGTGTATGAAGGGCTTCCTTTAACTAAGAGAAGAAACACCAACAGAGAAAAAAGAAAGGACAAAAAAAGACGGAGCGAATCATTCAAGAGTTTCTTCTGGAGTATTTTTTGCAATTTAAAGTATACAATTTTTCAACTCAAATGTATGAATGGCTTCCTATAACTATGAGAATAAACACCAACAGAGGGGGGAAACAAGACATAAAAGATAGCTTATTCGTCTAAGTGTTTTTTCTTGAGTATTTGCAATTAAAAGTATAAAGATTTTCACTTCATACATTGCTTATGGGTGGAGAATATAACCCAGTCCCAGTTCATCTACTGTGTTGAGTATCCTTCGTAACAATTCCATAAAAATTAGTTCCTAAATAACGATTGGCATATATTGTTGTCCTTTAAATTTTTTAATCGTTAAAGGTAACAAATCATGCTATTTAATGCTTTCTTTTTAAGGTTGCCTTCTAGCTCACAAGTCACATGATGTCAGCCTTTCTTGATTATACCTTGAACGTTCATAATGAATTGGAGCTTATTTATGAATTTCTGCTATGTTTCATTTAAACAAGCTGTCATTCTGATTTATCTTCTTCTTTTTTTTTGTGTGTGCGCGCACACTCCTGAAGTCATGGCTGGATCTGGGAGTTCGATGCTATATTCATTTCTTCTATTCATCGCGACACTCTCTCTGCAGGAAGCGTATAGAGGAAAGTTAGCATCTTCAGAATTGTATACCATCCTTGGTGGATTCACTAGTTCTCTCATATTCATTTTGTTGTTAACGGTGAGAAAAGTTACCTTTTGTGGTATTATGTGTTGTGCTCTAAGGTCTCAAAATTACCTTTTGTGGATTCACTAGTTCTCTCATATTCATTTTGCTGTTATCGGTGAGAAAAATTACATTTTGTGGTATTAAGTGTTGTGCTCTAAGGTTTCAAAGTGCAGGCACTGCAAAGTGTTTACCACTCTATTAAGGCTGTTAAAATTTACAGTGCCTGTATCCATATACAATAAAGCTGTACTAATTCAGATGTATGCTGTAGAAATTGTTGTGTTCATATGCAAATATTTGTGCAGCTTACTTACTTTTTTCTCCCTGACATCTTGTGGCAGAAATCTTTTTTCCTTTGAGAATAATTCACTTTCCTATTTTCCTATTTTATCATTTTGTTGTCAGATCCACTGTTGTCTTCACCATTCTTTGCACAGTTTCATGACTGCCATGCATTTTATGGCTGCATAAAGTGAAGTATCACATGGTGCTTTGCTAGCACTCTTGAATTAAAAAAGTGTTGTTTTTTTAGCACATTACATACCAAACTAGTATTGTATTGAGCTTGACTTGGTGATACTGTTGCAGTTCATCGGAAACTATCAAGAAACATCTGGTGTAAGGACTGGATGGGGTGCAGGTGAGTGCATTATGTTTTGACTTTTTATTGTCATATTTCAATCAGTTCTTTCGAAGATCTAATTAACTTTCTAATATATTTAAAGTAGAAATAAACAAAGGGATTTTGAATCTTGCCAGAAAAAAAAACCAAGGGATTTTGAAATCTTACCAGTTTCAAAAAAATTGAAGGGATTTTGTCTTGTAGATGTAGCATTGAAGTTGTAGTATATTTTCCCTAAACATTTTTATCTTAATATTCAATCCCATATGTATACATTGACGGAGTTAGCTTGTGGCGTGGGGGTTCAATTGAATTCCCTTCGCCCGAAGTTGTAATGCATAAATAAGGTAAATATACTTTTTTTTATATATATAAACTGTAGAATCTCCTTGACATATGGGAAGATTCTAGTTTAGTGGCAAAGGAGGTTCAAATTGCTTTGGACTAGGTACAAATCTAGGTGTGATCAATGTTAAGTTGTGTAAAGTGTAAACCACATATCTTGTTATTAGTAAAGAGATACAGCAGCTGTATGGGTCAATTTATTTTAATCTGTTGTATTGGTCTGTTATACTGCAGTTATTCTTGCTGAGGTAGTAGCTCTTATTGCTGCTAGCACTGTTCATCGAGTTAGCATCACGACATGGTAATGAACTATACTATCAGTTATTATTATTATGGATATAGAAACTTGTGTTTATTCCATACGTTTTTTCTTGTGGGAAATCTCTTGGATGAGTTAAATGAGCTAAAAAGAACACAAAATTGCTTAGAATGTTACCTTTCTCCAAAAAGAATTACCCAAAATTACTTGGTGACATTTAATTTTGGGTTCAAACCAAAAGTTTGTTGAAGTTGGAAATTTTATGTTTGAATACAACAAGCACCTAACTTGTCAGGATATTTCATTTAGACACCTATACTTGTCAGGATATTTCAGTTAGATACCTAAACTCAGCTCATAACCTATTAAACACCTAGACTCAGCTCATGACATAAAGCACCTGATGGAAAAGGCAAAAACTTTGTTCCCCATATTTATATTGGATCCCTTCTCCATGTTGCCTCTGGTTCCCAAACTACAATCATTACCTGTGTTATAATGCGACTTCAGATTTCCTACTCCGAAACCACCAAGAGTTTTACTCAACTTGACTGTTTCCCAGTTGACCAAATGGTAGGACTTTTTTCCGTATTTTCTTCCCAAGGGAAGTTTCTTCTTAATCTTTCTATTGTGTTGACTGCTTTTGAAGGAATAAAGAACACTCACATTGTATATGTAGGCAAGGAAATCCAAAACAGTATTAATTAGATCTAACCTGCCTAAAGCAGCATGCACACTATATCTTTTATGTAGATAGCTTCCTTTTATTCTATAACCCCTTGCCATATTAAAGCAAGTCTTGCCAAACTATTCCTCACTTGGAGCTGCTAATTTCACAGTATTGCTGTTTAGCAGTTCATATAACATCTCCATCTCCTTTCTGTTTACTCTTTTCTCCTTTTATGTGCTGGATTACTGTTCTCACCAGCAGCTTATCCAAAAAATAAAAATCAGGCTTATTTTATGGTAAATGAGCAGCCTGACTTCCTTTCTGAACAAATGTCTGGCCTATCAAGTGGCACTCCACCATAATATATGGGTAATAAGTGGGTGATGAAGCTTTTAAATCGGAACTTTTAACTACAGTACAGGTTGGTGTGTTAGTATAATGTTTATAAATCTGATTGGGCGTTCTTCGATCTTAATGCAGCTTCTTGTTCTCAGCCGCGTTGCTGTATGAGGTCAACAAGCTCTCAGGAGTGATAGTTTCTAGAAGTGAATCTAGAGGCAAAAGGTACTAATGTACCCTTTCGCCTTTCAAGGCCGGGATGGTTGGAACCATTTGCTTTACCTTTGTACTTTTCGTAGTAATGTTATGAGAGGTGAGGCAAATTTTACCAGAACTTGCAGAACGATATTTTAAACGAAATCATGAGCGAGTTTATATCACTACGTTTTTGGTTAATTTTAGGTTTACTTAACTTGAATGTTTTGATAGATTGTTTAACAACATAAAGTATGATAGTTTTGTGGTGGAAATTCCTAAAGTATTCCTACAATAAGTGTTTTGTTGGTTTAATTCAAGAATAAAAAAGATAGTTGCCCAACGACTCCACTGAAACATTTGAAAAAAGACAGGTTAAGTTTGCTAGTTCTCATTTTTTGATTAAGAAATTCAATTAAAGAAAATTTTACGAAGCCAATCAATTGAGTCACTATGATCTTCTACTCGACAAAAGGGATATGTTTTTCATGCTTCGAAAAAGAGTCAAAATTATTCTCAAACTATTCTAAATAGCTCATATATACCCTTTATTTATTTATCTTTGCTATTGGAGCTGACATGGAAGTCCACCTAGGTAGTCAGTCCAACATGGCAAAAATCCCTTTCTCTCGATAATGTTGTTCTTCCTTCATTCCTTTCACAAAAAATAATAAAAGTATATATATAATTCTTTCATTGTTTTTGTTTGAGTTGTTGTTCGGACGTCGAAACTTCAATTTCGAAGTGTGCTGAAGTTTCTAAGTTGTTCCACTCCAATGCTAGCTATAGTAATTCCATCTTCTATCCTACATATACTAATACATATATTATCTCATAACTTATATAGGTTTCTAAGTTGTCAACCAAAACGTCATATTAATTTTAATTTTATACATGAATAATTTATTTCTTATTTTCCTATTAAACGTCATATAAATTATATAAAATTTAATACATAAATAAGTTATTTATTATTCCGCTAACAACAGAACTCAACCGGACAAGGGAAGAGAAGATTTGACATTTTGACAATGATTGCATAGGAAATTAATTAATTAGTGAAAGTTGTCTGTTTTTGTTCGCCGTAGTTCTTTGAAAAGAAGTTGGTGAAAATTTGAAAAACTTCAAGACAACAATTAATACTTTCTCTGTCCAACAATAGTTGTGTACTATTGACTTGACACATTCTTTAAGAAACAATAAATAATAAGAGTAATATTATTATATTATCCTTTGACTTTATTAAATTTAATATTTTGAAAAATATGTTAGATGATAAATAATATTTAATAGTAAGGGTAAAATAAACACAAAAGATAAATTATCTCATTTTTTACTAAATTAGACAAGTATTGTTGAACATCTATTTTAAGTATAGTGGACAACTATTATTGGACGGAGGAAGTACTATATTTTTTCCAACCATACCCTTAAACTCCATCTTTTTTATAGTGTTCAATTTTCAAGAGACATCTTTTAAAATAAAAATAGTTTAGTAAATTACGCATTTTATTTATTATATGACATTTATTTTGGGACGAAGGGGTACATAAAAGTACTCATTCTGACAAGTATCTTGATCTTGATAACTATTTTTTAAGTTTCAAGTCTCATTTTGTTCTCAATTTCACAAATGCCTATGAGATACCCTTTATTTTGCAAACAAATGCTACCAAATTAACAATCCCTTAGTTAATGATAATTATCTTGAAAAAAACTCCTTTTTTTCCATTGAAAACTCACTTAACTATTATTATTTCACCTACAAAATCACTTGATTGGTTAAGTGATCCTTCTATTATAAAACAAAGAAAAATGACTTTTTTAACTAATTACTATTAGTTGAATGACTTTCCTATTACAAAATAAAGAAGAGCGACTTATCGAATATGCCAATCTGAAAAATCAACTGGAACTTTGTGTACAGTTACAAAGAATATCTACCTAACTAGAACAAAATCTTTATCAGAAAATAGTAAACAAGAGGAATGAGGGGAACAAATTGAATTTCAATATATGGTCAAAAACTATCAACTTTTCTATTTTTGTATATACCTTGATAAGCTGTTACTGCTGCTGCTAACTGAAATATCTCTGAATCTATCACTGTGTAATGATAATGATTCCAATGACTCAAAACCAAGGGGAAGTGGCCTATCTGGTAATCTTGGAATATCAATATCTCCCTCAAGCATTCTCAAAGCATCTTCAATTGTTGGTCTTAAAGCCACCATAACATGAGCACAAAGTATTCCAACATGAACAAATCTCTCCATAACTCTCTTTGGTCCTTCATCCTTTATAGACACATCGAAAACGCCTTCCACGTTTCTTGATTTCACCATTGTCCATGCCCAATCAGTGACCAAAAGTGCAGAAGAATTCGATGCATCAAGAACCCTCCTTCCACTCATGATCTCGAGGATCATGATGCCAAAGCTATATACATCACTCTTCTCTGTTAACTGCCCGTAAAGAGCATATTCGGGTGCTAGATATCCATATGTGCCAGCCACCCTTGTTGTAAGATGAGTTTGTCCTTCTTTGCTTTGCTTAGCTAATCCGAAATCTGCAACTCTTGCCTTCATATCCATGTCCAAGAGTATATTTGTAGCCTTTATATCGCGGTGGTAAATTGAAGGTTTGATTCCATAATGCAAGTAAGCTAGCCCTTTAGCCACATCAAGAATTATGTTCTTTCTTTGAGGCCAAGATAAACGTTTCGTTCCAACGTTGAAGAGATGATCATCTAAGCTACCATTTGGCATGAAATCATACACCAAATATCTCCCTTTTCCATTCAAGTTGTCACTTGTAACACAAAATCCTCTTAGAGGAAGAAGATTCCTATGCCTAATCTTGCTTATAATCTCTGCTTCATTAATAAACTCCTCATCACCCTTACTATCCATATCAAGAATTTTCTTCACAGCAATTAAGGTACCATCAGAAAGGGTCCCTTTATAGACACTTCCACTCCCTCCTTGGCCTATCATATTCCTTTGGGAGAATCCTTTAGTGGCTTGTTCAAGCTCACCTACTTGAAACCACTTAGCACCAGTATTGGGCAAAATTTGGGACTTAACACTAGTAACATACCCTTGATGCAATGCATCTTGCTTTCTCTTCTTATCCCATTTCTTGTAAAGAACAATGAAAACTATAACACCCAAAATCCCAAAGAAAGTACCTAAAAACCCGAAAACCATTTTTAACGAAGTCCCTCTGCTAAGATGGCGCGATCTACTTGCCTTGTTAGCCAAGGGCAGGGCAAGCACACATGCAGCAGTTCTTGAATCCTCAGGTCCAAATTCACTAACAATAGCAGCAGCATAAATGGCAGTGAAATAAAAACACTTATCATTTGTCACATTTGGATTCAAAGAAACCAAATAAGTATTTACCTTCAAACCAGCATCAAGACACAAACTGCACCTAGTAAGCCCTGCAAGGTCACCAGTACAAGATGAGTCAAGTAGGCTATTTGGACCTACTTTTTCCATCCAATCTTTCATTGTGACAATACCTCCACAACTCGAAGGCTTAACGACAAAATCATTACTCCCATTCATGCACTGTGAGACAAAAGATTGAGATATTGACATGGAAGTAAGCTTAGCCTTGAAGGCTGAAGTACATGAAAGAGCAGCATCTTCATTTGGGAGATAAAACATGGATGTTTCTTTGAGGTGTTGTGCAAGCCCTATACCGAAGAGACTACGGAGAGTTTGGCAGCAACTCTTCTCTAAATATTCTTCTGTGCATAAAGAAGTGTCCCAATTACAGGTTTCTATGTAATCAAAGTTTATTGGACATGAAGAAGAATTCAAAGCATAGGAGAAAGAAAAAAGGATATGGCAAAATGATATGAAGAAGATAAGTTTCATGGTTTCTAGCTGTTTGTTTAGATTGATTTACCCCAAAGAGATTGTTTTTTCTGTTTTAGTTTTGGTTACATAGTAGAGAAATTTGACAAGAACACTTTAAAGAATGGCTGGTTTTGGTCAATTTGCACGTTTAGTTTGAAACTTGAAAGAGCTTTTTGATGTGGATTCTTGGAAAGTTGGTAAGTCATAGTCAACAAAACCTCACTGCAGGCATTACTTTAATGAACAAATAAGTAGATAAACAAGTCTCAATTATAATACTAGTCTATTTGATATTTTTATATTACCACTTGTACATCCTTTCATTATGCAGAAAAAGTGATACACTCCCTCCTTATTTGTCTGATTTTAACTTAACAGAGTTTAAGAAAGTAAGAGAAGACTTGAATCTTATGGTCTTAAACTAAAGATATGATGAATGTAGTCACTTTATGGTTTTCAAATTATAGTGTTGCCAAAAAGGAAAGATTATTTCTTAAACAAGCAAAAAAGGAAAGTAAGACGAACAAAAGTCGTGATTGTATTAAATACAACAAAAGGACTGAGAAAGTAGAATAGGCCAAATATCATAATTTTCTAGTTACATTCCAGATACACAATCTTTTTACTCATATTCCATCCATCAGAGGCTCCAACATTTATTGAGTGTTGCACTCTTCTCCTCAAATGTAAAGATATAGAATAGAAGATTGTATTATCCTGTATACAAACTTTTGAACTATCCAGGTCTACGCGAACTACTTGGCGTGAAAACGCAACTGGAAAACGAACTGAAAGAGCTGCAAAATGATCTAGAATTCATTTGTCAAACTCCCAAATGACTCCTCCATCCTCTGCAATCACAAGTCCAGCCAACTTAAAAGACAAACCAGAAATAAAGGAGTGAAAAAAGAAAAATAATTGTATCAATTGAAAACTAAATCAAACAAATGATATTCCGCATTCAAGTGGAGTGGACTGTTTGGAAAGCTGAATATGTTTTCCTAGAGTACTGTACGAGGAGGATAGACACTTGAACTTTCACAACAAATATACTCATATGTGTAAGGAGTGTTGATCACAATCTTTCGAGAATGTTCAAGCGATGACGGATTATAAAAACGTGGTGAGAAAGAAGTGGAATGTTGGAAGATACAGGGAAAGAAAAATGATCACAGAATAACTATCAAGGAACCAACTTCTGGACTTCAACAAAGATGGCAAGTAATGTGACTAAGCAGTTAGATGCATATAGCTATTTCATGTATCCTAATTACCAGGTCATAATTTGTTTTTCTTGCTGGATGAAAGATTTGCAATTGCGAGGGGAGGGAGAAGAGTTTATTTAGTTCAAGAGCAAGGCAGAGACGCCTCAAAAATTCTTTGGACAAAGGAATTTGCTGTGAGATTTGAACACTCCACGAAAATAAAACCATGTCATAATATCCAAAAGAAGAAAAAGTCACTAACATAACAACTCCCAAACAACTCTTTAGTATTTTAAATCAACTGATATTCTATTACCACACATAGATTTGTATCATTCTCAATTGCATGAAAAGAAAAATATAGAAGCATTTATCTCATGGAATATGCATTTACTGAGTGAGTCTGAGTCCCAACAATTTAACAATCTAAAAGCAAGATCTAAATACTTGAACACTATCCTGAGGAATCCTTTTTATCAACTAGGGAAGACTTAGCATTACAAACACATGTTCTTTGAGTCCTCCCTACCAAAATACCAAAAACAGGTCGTTAAATGTTTTAGGCTTTATATGCTATCAAGAGACATATTCACCTCCCAACTAAAATTGGTTTGAAATCTTCTATAAAAAAAAAGGTTTGAAATAACTTATAAGAAAACGATGCTACGAGCTTCACATGTTATTGATATATTAAGGAACATTAGCTTAAATTTTGTATTTGTATGTGTTCTTAATCTTGAGCAGTGGAAACAAATGGCATATATTTGATTCTATCTCTTATGAATTAGAGCAGTATATGCATACCTTTGACCTTGTTGTTGATCCATGCTTCGAGTAGCATCCCTGCGCCAACTCCGGCTGCAATAAATGACCCATAAAAGGCAATGGAATATGGTAAGGATCTCCGTGGGAGGAAATAATAATCAGGAACTTGTCGAATCCTTTTTGGAAACCGTTTCTTCACAGCTGGTTCAAGACCAGGCACCTTACTTTCTCCACCCAGATTTTTCCAGTCCATCTCTTTTAATGAGTCTTTTGGCTGTTCTGCTCCCATGACAGCACTCTAGCAATGGAAACCTGTTTATGAGATGAAATGTTCAAGGAAATCAAAGTCTTGAATTTGAAATTATAAGGAAATCTTCGCATTATAACAGCACATCTATAGTTGGCATCTTCTTCCTTTTTTTTGATAGGTAAGGTAAAAAGTTTATTGATAAAACAGTACCAAGGAGGTACGGCAAATGTTACGAAATTCTAGACTCCATCAAGCACTATGCAAAAACAGGATCTAGAGAGTCCATAAAATTGAGATAAACAAAAAAAAATTATGCCAAAATAACAAATTTTGCAAGAATCTAAATTTATGCAGGCAATCAAACCCCTTTTTCCTTCAAAGCATCTTTTGTTTCTCTCCTTCCATACTGTCCAGATGATGCATAGGGGAATTATCACCAAATCTTCATCTGCTTTCTTTCAATACTCGGACCTTGCCAACAATTTAGTAAATTTTTAAATCTCTGTGGCATCACCCGATAAACACCAAAGATATTTAAAAATAAGGACCAGATCACCCATGTTTGTTCACAGTGCAACAACAAGTGACTAACAGTTTCTAAGAGTATTGACATAGAGAACATCTATTACATAAGATAAATCCCCTCTTTTGCAAATTATCTAGAGTCAAACAATTTCCGTAGGTAGCAATCCACCCAAAGCATGCTACCTTGGTTGGGACCTTAGTTTTCTAAAGCATTTTCCAAGGCCAGAGAATCTCAGAACTATGATTCTGTTTTTGCAGCCTGTTAGACCTGTTGTAACTAGGGTTTATAACCGCAGGAATGGTGAAAATAAGGCTTAAATGTAACTGTTTTATTTATTAATTACTATGTGTATGTAGTTCTTGTAGTTACCTAGCAGTTAACTAGCATTTTAGGCAGTTATTCTGTGATAAATTGTACTAGGAAGAAGGGAAGACAATAAGTTCTATTTTCTCTGGCAGATTTGGAGGTTAAGGTTTCCTCCAAATACCTTGGTTGTTAGAAGTATTCTCCATATGCTATTTGTAAAACTTATTCTATTTGCTTGGTGGCAGTAAATAACAGTTGAAGTGTTGTTCCTATTTCTGTGTTGTGTTTGGAAGTTTACAGATCTAGTGTTAGGAGAGTTCTGGGTTCCCAACACAGCCATTCATAGCCTTCTTTCACTCTAAAGTTATTTGCAAGCTATTTCTCATCACAACAACTTTTTTTTTTTGAGACAAGTAACAATTCTATTCAATAAAAACTTAGCCACCCCATCACAGCAACATTGACGGCTGCCTCGGCAACACCAACATTGAACTACTCCTCAAGTGTTTCCATTTTTGCCTTCATGGCATTATTAGCACTCAACGCCTCTGTTGTGATATAAAGTAGGTGACATTAAGGGTTGATATTAGTTAGCAACAGAAAGGGTAGATTAGTCTTTTTGTGTAAAGGTTGTTATAACTACTTTCTAGAAGTTAGTTACACAACTATATAAGTAACTATTCCCTCATCATGTATGCTTAACATTCTATACAAAAATAAAAGTTTCTCTCTTCTCTTCTCTCTTCTCTTCTCTTCTAAATCTCTCATTCATGGTGTTGATTGAGCTTCTTTAGTTACGTTCATGGTATCAGAGCCTCATGCTTCAATCTGATTAAGATCTGAAGCTGGTATTTGTCAAAGGATCAAAGAATCAATTGGTTGATTCATCGATTCATAGAGTTGTATCAAAATTGGGTACAGATCTCTGTATCTTCTGTTTTTCCGCGAGAAGAAGCTCAAGTAGATCATCAATGGCGCCTGGAAATAGCTCAGCTGATTTACCTCAGAATGATTCTGCACCACCTGTTCCTCAAACTAACAGTTCTGTGCAAGGTCAAGGTATTGACTATAATCATCCTCTGTTTCTTAATCCTACTGATGTTAGTGGTATTAGTTTGATTTCGTTTCAACTGCTTGGGATCGGAAATTATATGTTATGGAGTAGATCTATTCGACTAGCATTGTTAGGAAGGAATAAGCTTGGGTTAATTGATGGAACTGTTAAGAAAGAGATGTATAGTGTAGAATTGTGGGGACATTGGGAAAGAGTGAATGCAATTGTGTTGTCATGGTTACTCAACTCTGTATCTAAAGAGTTATTGAGTGGACTTGCTTTTGCCTCGAGTGCATTTGATGTTTGGACTGATTTAAGAGAGAGGTTTGATCGAGTAGATGGTTCTAGAACCTATAGCTTGCACAAAGACATTGCCTCCATGCAACAAGGTACTACATCTGTCTCTGAGTATTACACAAGGCTCAAAACTCTATGGGATGAGTTTGAGATACTAGTACCAGCTCCTTGTTGTAACTGTGAGGTTTCAAAAGGATTTGTAACTCATATGAACAGGCAGAAGGTTTATCAGTTTCTGATGGGACTAAATGAATCGTATCAGCAAGCTAGAAGTCAAATTCTCATGCTAGATCCATTACCAACAATCAATCATGTGTACTCTATGATAGTTGGGGATGAATGTCAAAAGGCTGTGGTGAAGTGTACTACTAGCTTGGGAATGACTTCAATTAGCTCAGATCCATCTGTTGCTATGTACTCAAGAGCTGGTAGCAGTTCAGGTGTTAGTAATAGCACAGGTGTGAATCAGAAATTTAAGAGGAATTCAATACTAATATGTGATTTCTGCAAATGCAAAGGTCACAGCAAAGAGTTTTGCTACAAAGTGGTAGGTTATCCTCCTGACTTTAAGTCAAAAAGAAAGGTGCAAGGGGGATCAATTTCCCCACCTGGCAATCACTCCAATCAGTATTCATCAGCTCAGGCTAACTTTACATATGGTCTCAACACCAACATTCCCCCACCAGGCTGGGGAACTCCACAACAACATTCGTCTGAGGGATCTAATGTCAACCTCAAAATCAGTAAAGCTGAAAAGGAGGTTCAACAAATGCTGCAGGGATGTACTTTTACAAAGGATCAATATGATCATATTTTGAAGATGGTTCAACAGAAGTCAGAGTCACCTACTGTTTCTACTTGCAATACTGCTAGTACTACAGGTAAGGACTCTTTTGTTGTTGATCATAGTCAAGTATGGATTATTGATACAGGTGCAACAAATCATATGGTCTCTAGCTTAGATATGATGGTGAAAGGTTCAGTGTCAAAGCTTCCAGAATTGAAACCTGTGTATCTTCCAAATGGTACTACCACTCAAGTTTCTCATGTTGGTTCATGTGCCTTATCAGCCAGAAGTATCATCACTAATGCATTACATGTTCCAGCCTTCAAGTATAATCTATTATCAGTTAGTCAGATCACAAAGGAGTTAGGGTGTTCTGTCACCTTCTTTCCTAATTTTTGTGTTTTTCAGGAGCTTTACAGTGGGAAGGTGAAGGAAGTTGGTAAAGAAGAGGGTGGTTTATACTTACTAAAGTTGCACTTAACTAAAACAAATGCAAGTACAAGCAGTGAGAGGGAAGTTGCATTTGCTGTCAACAATACAAAACCAGTAGACATGGAGTTATGGCATCAAAGACTAGGACATGTATCTTCTACAGTTCTTGCAAGACTGTTTGCTGTGAATCAACAAAATCTATGTACTTTGTCTAAATGCTCTGTCTATCCTTATGCCAAACAAACTAGACTAGCATTTCCTGTGAGTAGTATTAAAACTGTAGCCTATTTTGATTTGATACATGTTGATGTTTGGGGTCCCTATGTTGTACCTACAGTTGATGGTAGCAAGTATTTTCTTACCATTGTTGATGACTTTTCTAGAATGACTTGGTTATTCTTGCTCAAACATAAATCAGTTGTTTGTGTTTCTATTAAAGAGTTTCTTGTGTATGTTCAAACTCAATTTGGGAAGGCAGTAAAAATAGTGAGGTCTGATAATGGTACTGAGTTTGTGAACTCTGTTTGTGTTAATCTGTTCAAAGATATGGGTAGTATGCATCAAAGATCATGTCCTTACTCCTCAGCAAAATGGTGTTGCTGAAAGGAAACATAGGCATTTACTTGAGGTCACAAGAGCACTCAGGTTTCAGGCTAGTATACCAGTGAGTTATTGGGGTCAGTGTGTGTTAGCTGCTGCATACCTCATTAACAGGTTACCTAGTAGTGTGCTTGGTTATGAGACACCTTATGAAAGGCTGTATGGTAGAAAACCAGTGTTGACTCATCTCAAAACCATTGGATGCTTGTGCTATGCTAAACAACTGACTGAGCATGACAAGCTCCTACCAAGATCCAGATCTGCTGTTCTTATGGGTTATTCAGAAATTCAGAAAGGCTATATACTGCTTGATCTAAGTAACAGGTCCTTTTTTATTAGTAGGGATGTCCTGTTTAGAGAGGATCAATTTCCTTTTGCTCAGATGTCTAGTCCAATTGAGAAGGTGTTTCCAGACTCCATGCATGATTCTGCAGTTTTGCCTCCTCGACTAGATCACATGCTGACTTCCTATGTTCCTGCTTCTACTTGTCCTTCTGATGCTCAACAGGAGGAGTCTGAGTTGCCTTTATGTCATGCCCTCCCTGTTCCTGAGGTAGATACTGGTGTTATAGCATCAGATTCTGATGATGCAACTTCTAGAATGCCATCTGTTAGAAGATCTTCTAGGCCTAAACAATCTCTATTATGGCTGAAGGATTTTGTTTCCTGTACTCTCAATAACCCTGTTCCCTATTCTCTATGCAACTATATGAGTTATGATCATCTCTCATCTCCTTATCAAGCTTACATTGCTGCAACTTCTATAATAAGGGAACCTGATACCTACTCTGAGGCTGTTACAGATAAAAGGTGGGTGGATGCTATGCAATCTGAAATTCAGGCCCTTGAAAGTAATAACACTTGGGTGATCACTGATCTCCCACAAGGGAAGAGAGCTATAGGCTGTCGATGGATCTATAAAGTGAAGTATAAATCCACAGGAGAGGTGGAAAGATTCAAAGCTAGGTTGGTTGCTAAGGGGTATAGTCAGCAGGAAGGCATAGACTACAAGGAAACTTTTTCTCCTGTTGTGAAGATGGTTACTGTTAGAACCATTGTTGCTCTTGCTGCTTCTAGACAATGGCATATTCATCAGATGGATGTCTTTAATGCCTTCCTTCATGGTGAGCTAGATGATGAGATATATATGCAGTTGCCACAGGGCTTTGTCAGTCAAAGGGAGAAGGTCTGTAGGCTAACCAAATCCCTCTACGGTCTCAAACAGGCACCTAGACAGTGGAACCATAAGTTAATTGAAGCACTTCTCAAACTAAAGTTTCAGCAGAGTCAACATGATCATTCACTGTTTATTAACAAAGCAGAAGAGGGGATCATTATAATACTTGTGTATGTGGATGATATGTTGATCACTGGTAGCAGTCTAAAACTAATAGAAGATACAAAAAGAGCATTACAACAGGCTTTCAAGATGAAGGATCTAGGTGAATTAAAGTATTTCTTAGGAATTGAATTCACTAGATCAACTGTTGGTATATTGATGCACCAAAGAAAGTATGCTCTTGAACTGATATCTGAAGTTGGCATGACAGCAGCCAAACCTGCAGGTACACCTATTGACATCAATGTTAAACTGACATCGAAGTTGTATGATGAACATGTAAAGAAGTAACAAGCAAAGACAGAGGATCCACTTGTGGATCAAACAATGTATCAAAGACTAATTGGCAAGCTATTGTATCTAAATATGACCAGACCTGACATAACATTTAGCACACAGACTCTTAGTCAATTTCTACAGCAGCCAAAGAAGTCACATTTTGATGCTGCACTAAGAGTGATCAGATATATCAAGAGACAACCTGGACAAGGTTTATTGTTATCCAGCAGTTCAGATGGTTTGGTGACAGCATTTTGTGATGCTGATTGGGCTTCTTGTGTGCTGACCAGAAAGTCTAGTAACAGGATACATGGTGAAGGTTGGTCAGTCATTAGTTTCTTGGAAGGCAAAGAAGCAAACGACAGTGTCAAAAAGTTCAGCTGAAGCTGAATATAGGAGCCTTGCCTCCACTGTTTCAGAATTAGTATGGTTACTTGGTTTGCTGAAAGAAGTAGGAGCTGAAGTCCAACTACCAGTGCAGGTGTATAGTGACAGCAAAGCAGCCATTCAAATTGCTGCGAATCCGGTGTATCACGAAAGGACAAAGCATATTGAGATCGATTGTCATTTTATAAGGGAAAAAATACAACAAGGACTAATCACTGTGAGTTATATTTCCACAAGAGATCAGCCTGCAGATGTGTTGACAAAAGGATTATCTAGACTTCAACATGAACACCTACTATCCAAACTAGGAGTGTTAGATATATTTGCACCACCTAGTTTGAAGGGGAGTGTTGTGATATAAAGTAGGTGACATTAAGGGTTGATATTAGTTAGCAACAGAAAGGGTAGATTAGTCTTTTTGTGTAAAGGTTGTTATAACTACTTTCTAGAAGTTAGTTACACAACTATATAAGTAACTATTCCCTCATCATGTATGCTTAACATTCTATACAAAAAATAAAAGTTTCTCTCTTCTCTTCTCTCTTCTCTTCTCTTCTAAATCTCTCATTCATGGTGTTGATTGAGCTTCTTTAGTTACGTTCAGCCTCCATGAGCCTGCACTCCAAGACAGTAACATTTTTTCTCAGTTCAAACTCCGCCTGCTTGTGCCCCTTCAACTCATTCCATACACTCTCATTCTCTTCAAGAATGTGCCCCTCAAGAACATTTATGGTGCTCTCCACCTTTTCGAAGCAATGGCCAAAGATCTCGACGACGTCCATTCCCCTATTAACCTCCATAACAAACTCTCTACTGGGTGAGACATCCTCGGGTAGGATTTCCTTGTCATCCTGGTTCACCTCAATGGTAGATGATAATTGGGAGGCAAGTCCTTCACTTGACACAATCTCGAGTGACACCTCCTAACTTTTGTTGGAGGCACTCATCTCTTTGTTATGGTCCTCCTTGTGAATTGCCTCCTTGGTGACGTTAGCTTGGGTGTTGAAAAAGTTGATTCCCTTCATTGCATCCTTGCTCTAATACCACATTGCCTTCCTTAGTCTTAAACTAAGTGCACGTGTGCCACTTGACAACTTGCTCACAATCTTGCTATGTCAAGTCAGCCTAGATTACTAGGCTAAAGATCATTAACGGAATGTTAGGTAAGAAAGATAGGATAAATTTGCTAAAGGAAGCTTTTGTATTAGATTTTGCTTGATGATTTACAAATGAATGACCCCCTATTTATATTAATGCTACTGCATAAATAATAATTATTGTACAAGTCCCTCATTAACTACAAGGGCTTTCTTTAGAATTCTCAACAAAGCTAGAAAGTTTCAAGGAATTTTCTAGCAAATCCATAGAGTTAAAAGGTCCTCCAAGGAAAATATCCACATTTCTCTAGAAACTTCCACAAGTGCTAGCCTTCTTATGTAAGCATCCAACATGGCAAAAATGTGTGCCAAGTGGCACGTAGGTGGCATGATGGTATGTATGGTCATCACATTACATCCCAAAATTTCAGCAAACTCCTCAATGATATTATCCATATTAACAGAAAAGATGCAACTCTTATTCCAGTTTACTTTAAGTCTTGAGACTGCTTCAAAGGCTAACAAGATAATTCTCAGGTGTTTGGCATCTTCATTTCTCAAGTATTTTATGAGTAAGCAATTATACATATCTTGTCCTTTTCTCTGTTCGCCTTTTATTTTCACCTCAACAATTCAGATATTAAATCAACATTAAGCAAAAATCTGAATCTTCCAAACCGAAAGACAAATAAACAATAACAAAGTACAGCGCCTTCACTTTTTTTTTGACAAAGGTAACAGGAAGTACAACGCCTTCACTTATCAGAGTAAAAGCATGTCAAGATCAATTCTTGACTAAACAGACAGAGAAAAGAAAATATGGTTAAAGTTCAGCAAAACAACCAAGGAATCTAGCACCATGTTATTGCCTGTTTCATTTACAGGCACATTTGCTTCCTTTTACACTTCCTCACCACATAAAAGCAATGGAAAAGCCCACATCCGGTGAATATTCTTTTTTTATTTTCCATTTGGGAAAAGAAAAAGTCCTCGTATAAACATTTGGATCGGAAATGAAAAGGTATAATCTTTCATGTCTCTTCCACAAAAAGATTAATCCTTAATTCATTGCCTCCAATACACCAGGTCTTTTTGACTCTAAAAGAAATTAAATAGAAGTTTGAATATCTGCTAGCTTATAACTTAATTAGGTTCTCTATTATCAGTTATGCTGAGTTTTGCCAAGTGTTTCTACTATTGGATTGGGTTTAGGTAATGCTGGCAAATGAGCGGATTCAGATCAGATATGGGCGAGTTGATAATGGGTTAGAAAAGACGGATAAAATATTCGACCCCCATATTAGTATGGATAAAAAAAGGGTAGAGTAACTGAAACATGTGTATTTATATGGTTCTTTTATGTTCAGAAAAAAAAATTGTATGATCCTTTCTTTAGTTTGCAAACCGAATTAGCTGTCCGTTTACCACTGCTTGAGCAGTACCGGCAGAAATCCAAAGATAAAAAAGTACCACAAAAAAGAAGAAGAAATTCAAAAACAAACGTAAAACTTACAAAAAAGCAACAGGCTAAATAGAACCAAGAGAAACAAGGCTAGAGGAGAAAACATGAAACTGAATGATGAAAATGACTACACAGAGATTGTTTCTCGGTATAAGTAACTTTTCACAGTTTCACCTAAAAAAAATCATTTCCAGCGTCTCAAGAAGTGAATAGGTGAAAGAACCCTTCGGGTTAACCCAGTGGTTTGGGCCTTGGGCCTGGGACTTCCATGTTGGAGGTCTCAAGTTCCAATCCCCTTGCCAACGAAAGCAAGGGGTTTGCCTTCTGGGTCAAGTTCATCGCACCGGGCTTGCCTAGTGCAGGTTACCTCTCCTGTGTGGTTTGCGAGTATTGCATAGGAGCGGGGGTTTTACCCTATGCGCTCCTAAAAGGTAGCAGCTACGGGTTTCCCTTGTCATAAAAAAAAAAGTGAAAAGGTGAAAGCTTGATCCATTTTGACCCACCAAGTACCCCTTTCTTACCACCAATAATATGGATACAATCCATATTTGATCTGTCCTAAAAATATCAATTATCCAAGCTGTTTTTAGTTGTGCAATAGGCTTGCTTTTCTATCCATTTTTGACTGGACTAGTTACGACTTACCAGCCTCCCTTAAAATAAGTATATTTATATGCAAGTTTTATTTATTAATCAAACCAGAACAGAAAATTTTCAATTAATCAAGTAATAATAATGTGGTTCTTATCTCACTAAGTTGTACTCTCAATTTCAATTTGTTTATCTTACTTTCCTTTCAATCCGCTTCAAAAATACTATAAAACCATAAGATTAATAAGTTTATAGACACATTTCGTACACTCTATTTATCTTTAGTTTAAAACCACAAGATTCATTTTTTTCTTTTACTTTCTCAAAGTCCGTGTTAAATCAAAACCAGACAATCAAATTGAAAAAACAATGGTAGAGTACAGTGATGTAGATCAGAAAAGCATCACAACTGATGAGGACATTGAAAATCCAAAAGACTGAGAATTTATCAAAGAAGTTGAAAGCTTTTGTTTGCAGCCTCTGTCTAATTCAACTAGCCTACATCAAGTAAACAAACAAGTAACAAGGGGGTCTTTAAAATCAATTAATCTCGACATCTTCAGATTTTCAACCGCAAAAAAATGAAAAAAAAAAAAAACTATTGCTTTGGATAGCTAGAACAGCTGTTCAATAACTTTTCTATGAATTTCATCCCAATAACTAAAAATTGTATCGTCTTTAGAGAAAAAAACTTACAACTTTGATGTCAATGGAAAAAGGAGAACAACTAGTTCACTGCTGATGCCCTAGCTGCAGACATTTGAAATTGGCATCCCAAAATCAAACTGAGGTTTTGGGTTCAATTAAGTCATTAAATGGTAGGCCTTAGGGCTCCAAATGCCTACTTATAAAATATAAAATATATTTAAAAGATTTATTGAAAATAAGTAATTGATTTTAAATAAAATATAATGTTTTTTTGTTTTAACAATTTCAATAAAGAAAACTGAAATTCAGGCCCTTTTTTGTATGGGGAATTTTCGCCTATAGTCACACTAAAATGACTTAATTATGCCTCCTAGTTATAGTTTGTTAATTACAATTCGTAGCAACATATTAGAGGGAGGAGAGAGGCGAGAGCGAGAGAGTGGAGAGAGACGAATTCTATATGTATATTTGTTGAATTATATATGTATATCTGTCAAATAGTTGTATATATGTAACTGATATACATATTTATTTGTGTATCTGGTGAGCGAGATTGGAAGAGGGAGGAGAGAGGCGAGCGAGATTGGGAGAGGGAGGAGAGGGGCGAGCGAGAGAGGGCAGAGAGTAGAGAGAGACGAACTGTATATGTATATCTGTCAGATAATTGTGTATATGTAACTGGTACACATATGTATTTGTAAATCTAGCGAGCAAGATTGGGAGAGGGAGGAGAGAGGCAAGCGAGAGAGGATAGAGAGTAAAGAAAGGATAATTGTATTTGTATATGTGTCATATAATTGTATATGTATGTGTATAATTTGTATATGTATAAAAGAGAAGAGAGGCGAGAGAGGAGAGAAATGACGTTATTACAGCTAAAATTAAGTTGTGAGCTGTAATTAATTCAAACTATAATTATGTTAGCTAATTAACTTTATGTTTGCTTATTCGCATAATTTTCCCTTTTTGTAATTGTAAATGATATAAGGGTGAACTTACAACTCGTTCATAGAGGCGAACAATCTCGTCGAAGGTTAAGCGTAAGGGGTCGTTTGTTAGGGAGTATTAGAAAAAATAATTCATGTATTATATAATAAGTATAACATTTATTTTTACTTGTACTTTTTACCACACAGTTTAATAAAGGCAAATAGATTTTAATTTATATAATAAGTACAACATTTATTTACTTGTATCTTTATAACTACATAGTTGACTCATCAAAGCCAAATAGAAAATTCATTTATTATCACTAGTATATATAAATGGAAGTGCAAGAGAAGTATATATTTAAAAAGATAATAATTACCTATAACTTTCAAGAATAAAGATGAAGCAAACTTTATTAACATTTTTTCTTGTGGTCGTTTTTCTTATTCTTACATCATGTATAAAAAAAATTAAGTTCATTTTTATTCATTTATATTTCAATTAATCATATTTGTTAAGTTCATCCAAATGGGTTGTAGGATATAGAATTGATTTATTTACATGGCATTCAGCATGTTATATGAATTAATTTTTGTGATTGAGTTATTTCAATTCCAAAAAAAAAATATGTTGATTTAAAGGCCGTATTAACAATTGAAATTTAGGATTATCCAATAGGTGGAATTGAATTGTAGGCGAGTTAAAATGGATTGATTTGTTCAAAAATTACTTGAATTGAAATGAATCGGACTGAAAAATAGGTTATAGTCAATCAATCCAATTCTTACAAAGTTTTACTTCGAAGAATATTTTCATAAAATTATGGGTTAGTTTGTGCTAGATATCAATGCAATTTTTAGATGGTTAAATTGAACTGATCAAAATGGATTCAACCAATAAATAGACTTAAATTAAAACATATCGAATGAATCATAGTTTCATAAGCTAAATGTTTATATAGTTATTTATTTATTTAAAAACTTATATTTATAATGATTTTTTTTTGTTTTTGCAGAAAATGGAGTGCCTTGTGTTGAAGGTATTTTTACAGGAATATGTGAAAAATTTATTCTTGGAGTTCTTTGTCCACCAGAAGAAGATTCAAAAATATGTTTGACTGCATGCACTCAAATAGCTAAAGGTCATAAACTCATCAATCATGCTTGTTTAGAAGGTGATGCACCTAAATGTTTTTGTCAGTGGCTATCAGATACATGTTAAAAATCTTTCGTTTTTTTTTATTTGTCATAATTTCTTTATAAAAGTCAAATAATATAAATTTTGACTAATATTTTAAGATGTATGTTTTCATCATATATGAGAAAAAATTTGCAACTGATAATATCTTCCGTGTAATTTTTAATTTTTTTAAAGCATTGAATTAATTCAATCTAATTTTACTTTAAAGATAAGTCAAACTGAATCTCGTGAAGTGAAACACGACAACTGTTTTGGGACGAAGAAAGTAGTTAGTTATAATTTTATTTTTGATTTTATGAGAATTTTTATGGAAATCTTTGATTTGTGATAAATTGAAATTTTGTATTGCTATTTAATTTGTCAAGATAAAAAATTTAAGGCATGATGGCACCTACACGAACTCATCGATAGGTAAGTTAAACATGCATCCAACTAATTATACTTTCTATAGAATATTTAAAGAAGTGCAAAAACAACAAATACATTCGAATTCTAATGTTATCGATATAAAAGCATCTAACAAAATGCAAATGTTTCAAAAACTATAACTCTGTCTAAAATAGTAAAGATAAAACGAGTCAGACATCACCTTAAACCCTAATAAGTAGCTCACTCAAGTCTCGAAGAAGTATTGTCATGGTTTGATAATCATTAAGGTTCAATAATGCTAGGATCTGCATAAAAAATGCAACAAACATATTATGAATACACTAGAATTTATTAGGCATCGTTGATCGATCGAGCTTAAATAGTAACTATATCGCTTAAAGAATGTCAATTAATAACCCTACAAGTAAACAAGCTCCAACAGTTCAATCAAACATAATATAAAGAAGGGAGGTTAGAAACTTAACCCTGCAAAAAATCCTCAAAAATCTCCAAGGATAAGGTGGAATGAGATCCTCCGGTTTAGCTCCTTTAGTTAAGGCGCCCAGTTCCGTAGCTTAAGTAAGCATCCGCGAGAGGTCTTGTGGTGCATCCATCTAGAACAGCCCTCAAAACGAACTTAGGAAGATAACGTTGTTCACCTACTTCCCTTGTTTTTGCTCCTCTCTCAGGCTCAGGATTTTCATTAAGGAGTGTCAATGATTGTAGTAAAAATATAATTATGAGGTTGGTAAGGCTTGAACATACGACCCCAAAGATTTTTCACAATCCCTTAACAACTAAACTAAACCTTCAACTTGTGTAAAGAGGTGTCAATACTTGTATATATATTGATTAAACCAAAATTTTGACCTCTATATACAATGTAATTTTTCGACGAAGGGGTGTTGCTTACACCCCTTCGCCAAGGATATATGAGTCCGTCCCTGCGTTAATCTATATTACTAAAATAGTAAGAAGAGAAACTTTGAAAAAAAATCATAAGAAAGAGTAGAAAATTAAAGAGTATTTCAAAAACTAGAAAACTCAAAATCAATAAATAGAAAAGTATCTGAAATGATCAGTAATAGTATCGAAAAAATTGAGCCCACTGAACACAATATTTTTCGAAGGAAATTATCCCCTGTAAATACCCAAGGCTAATGAAATATATCATTCCAAAATAGAACAATTTTACTCACTGTTCTATCCGTACCTAAAATTACGATGTCAGCAAATCACTCAACGATACTAAAAAATATGGGAATTTCTTTGTGTAAAACAAGAAGTTTTATAATCTTAGCATACTTTGGTAACCAAATTCTACACATATATACATATTATATATGCTACTTACTGTTTTCTACCACTAGTAATTAATCTTTGCAAACTAAAAAAGGACAGAAACAAAAACACAGTTGAATATGGCACTAATTCTATATTACACTTTTAAAAATATTAGATTGTTCAAAATCAATAACATGATTCAGATTTTCAATGTTTGGTGCTTGTCAATTCACTTTGATCCATACGTTTTCTTAATCATACTGACATGAGAAGAATTGCAACTTATATACGTATTAAATTGATCAAATCCAATTAAGCGTCAAAGATTACTCAAATCGACTTTAAGGAAGCGAAAAAATGGAGGTATAATTGGCTACATTTTCATATTTCAATTTTTTCATTAGAACATGTTATGAACATCAACAACCATTGAAGCCTCTTTTTCCTAATATAAAAACCAATCATTATTACTAAGTAAATTTGAAAGGCTTGTAAACTTTAAGATCAGATACAACACCAGCAAAAGAACCAGCAGCTGCAGCAATTGAGACAATAAGGCAAGTAACACTCAGAATTTGAAGACCAACCCATTTTCTACTCCATTTTGGTATCTTCTTTTGTGCAATGTACATTTCCACTGGATAATAAACAGTCAAAGGCCAAAATCCAAATGCTCCAAGTATTCCAACGATGTCGCTGAAGAATGGCAACAGCATAGAGATGAAAGTGGAGATGATAACGAAGATCGTCCTCCAAACTAGCCTGAATAGGTTGAGGTTGTACGATTTATAGCCCGGGATTGGGACACTAATATTCTTGGTGATGAATTTACTGTTAGGGTACCATTCTGCTGCTGTTTTTTCAATGAAGGCGAAAAGGGGTTGGCAGTAAACCTGGTATGCACCTACAAGATGAACGACGATGGCTATGTTGGCTATATCGAGTAGCCAATACGGGTCGTAGAATCCAAAACCAGTTAGTAAATTGTCAGGAGCATGGTCTCCAAATGCTGCATAGCCAAAACAGCCACAGAGCATGTAGAAAACTGTTGTTACTGATACACTAATTAGAGTTGCATTTTTCATTGTCTTGGCTTCTGAAGGTGGGGATTTGATTGTATCCTGTATTATATAGGAAATTACTACGACATCAAGTTAATACGCAATGGATAAATGAAAAAAATGCTCCATATCGTTACCTGAATCTCGATAAGGATGAGGGAGTAAGAATAGGCAAAAGCAATAGCTCCAAGTGCTTGAAAAGTTCTCCAAACTTTTTGCATTTCAGTCACAGTTCCAATGCTAACTCCAGTTAAACTTCCTCCAATTTTTCGAGTTTCTTCAAATCAAAACGGTACATAAAAGTTAGAACTTGCAGTGTTT